TTATTTTTATACACAAAGTTATAGTTTAAAATGAATTATTATAGAATCATTCCTAAAATAAGGTAAAATACATTCTAGAAGCAAAATTCACCCATTTGACTCATCTATTACTTAATTTTTATCATAAAATTTTGCTTATTATACAGCATCTAACCAAAAATTCATCTTGTGCGGCGACCGCCATATCAAATTTATTACGATATTTGCTTATCGCGTTTCTAGCAACAGCCCTTGAATTTGATACCCATATCATAGCGGTGACCATAAAAATTATAAATCGTCTTTCAGAAGCCGCCGCCATATTGGATCTAGAATGACGTCACTTTGCTCACTATATTTCTGTCATCAAGCCCCTTCATTTGATACTCATAGGATAGGGGTGACTATGGAAATTGGAAATTGCCATCTTGCGGTCGCCGCCATATTGGATTCAAAATGACATCGCAATGTTTGTTATGTTTCTCTCATAAAGCCCTTTAATTTGATATCCATATTACAGAAGGTGACTAAAATAATTGCAGACGCCATCTTGAGGCGGTCGCTATATTGGCTTTAGAATGACGTCACTTTGCTTGTTGCGTTTCTCCCATCAAGCCCTTTTATTTGATATATTATCAAGTAACGATAATGTTAATTTTTTGAGTCTGTGTACGTACGAAGAATTAAACACATAAAGTGTTTTTCTACCATTCAACCATACCGACAAAAGAAATTTAACATCACGCAAGATTTGAGGTTCGTTGCAGTAATACCGTACGGATATTATGTCAAAAACCTATAAAACGTCAAAAAAAAACTATAAAATGTAATCTTGCAGACTAGGTAGTTTTTAGGGAGCAAACATTCCATGCTTGCTCACTAAGATAGTTGTGAGCGTCTGTCTGTGGTGGAATGGCTCAACTACAGGTATCGTTGGTTGCATATGTTTTGAGAATCCGAGTAGTCTATAGTTTCCATCTCTGAGAAGAAAGTTGGTTAAATAACAAGATCGGATCTGGATGACTGTGTGCATTGGTCTGCATGTGTATAAAGTCAGTGATATATATATTACTGAATACGCTGAAAATGAAGTATACCTATTAGCTGTGCCCGACGGGTTATATATATATATATATATAGTCATTTCCGAAGACAGGTTATGTTCAAAGTTATAAATTACGATTTTTCCCTTTTTGTGTTTTCAAAGTTTGAGGAGAATTACGGGAAATCACTACCGCGCACGCGTTGTGTGTAATTACTGTTAGCTTGTATCTGAACTGTAATTCGACAGTGAACATTGAACATAATCATTTCTCATCTCTCTCATTCTTGAAATTCAGCAAATTTGCATATGTAATTTCCAGAATCGATAAGGAAAAGTGGATGCGCAACTAATCTCTAGCTTTGAACCTCAAGTAAGAGTATTTGAGACAAGGATCCAATGGAATTATCGTCAACACGGATCATCACTATGCACCTATACTTTGCCGTTACCTCCAGTAATGGCATCTCTAAAGCAGACCTTACATCACATCAGAGCCAAACATTGATAACTGAAGCCTCGTGTCGTTTAGGCAACACGTACAACTACAAAACGAGTTTATAACGTGTCCATCAGCTGGTGCTAAGTTAACATGTTATAGAAACACCTACATAATGTCACAAAAGCTAATAAGGTGTCAAAAATAATCGACATAAATGTCACTTTTCAAGATACGTAATACCCGTGTAGGCTAGCGGTAAGAATTGGGATGCAGATCCAACTTATGAGTGATGTTGTGTGTTTAACTTCCTTCATACACCATTTACTCCCAAATATTCAACAACTAGATCCAAGAAGAGAGCACGATGTTCTGTACTGTAGTCACTATTTATTTAAAAATAATTTCTAAGTGAGCAGAACTGCTCCCACACCTCAAAGGAGCGGATGTTGTTACGACAAGAAAACGTTCTTTCAGTTGTTTGCTATTTGTGTACTGTACAGTGAAAACCTCAGATACGCAGCACAGAGTCTGCAACAGTTGAATAATTGTTAGCTACCATCGAATGAATTGGACTGTATCCTAGCAGTCACTTAAATAGAAGCCACATTGACTTTATTTCGACAAATTTAAAGCTTTATGTAAATTCAGAAATCACGTTTCATGCTTAATATCGATTACGTTATAATTGGATTAGATTTTGAGGAACAAAGATTTGATCATAAAAAACATAAGGCATTTTGGTAGAATAAATCCATTTTTAAAAATATTATGGCTTGGTGGCTTATTTAGAAAAAATTGTACTCCAAGAGTAACTCAAGATGATTTGTTTTATAAGCATATAATTAGTTTGTTGTTAGACTTGAAACAGCACACTTCATCAAGCTTGACGATCTCTTCATCTACTTTTTTTGTGTGACAGATATGCCCAGCCAGCAAGGACACGTATATTTCACGTGAAATCAACGTACCTCTTTACGTAGTATTTACGGCCCTATTCGACGTGGACAGTCAGTTGAATTTGTGGGCGAAATGTCCGATAGAATCGACGTCATTTTCTGACAGCGATTCCACGTGATTTGGTAAATAACATTTGGATCAAAAATGAGTTCAATATATTTGGCGAAATCTAGAAGTAGTACTCTGTTGGGAAAACAGGTTGGTCACACTGTGGACAATAACTGTTATTTTTAACAATCAGTTTTCCAGACAGAATTTCTCTTATAGCCTTCACCAAACATACTGAACTCATTTTAACCCAAATTTTACTTACCACCTTCATCCACTCAACCCTTCAAATGTTATTGTACTAAAGAAGGCCACTGTGGTGGAAGAAATGTTTACAATATGTTTACATATATGTGGTTCGAATTGTAAAGGCAGACAAAATGAAGGATTAATACTATAGTAATTTTATTTGAAATATACTAAGTGACATATAAATCCGAACACCCAGTTTAAATGGTTTTATTTTAATAAAAGTTGGTGAATGTATTTATCTTACTGTAAATAACAAGTGAAAAAATTTTCAGCCTTATCAGTTGGACATTCCGGTTTTTATACTGCTTTTTTTTAATTCACTAATGCTCTAAAAATGAATATTTAAGTCGCAGTAAAGAAACAACGTTGGCGGATTTTGATTCTTGACATCCTTTACGATCGGTTAGGATGCCTAGAGTACGGAGATCTGTACGATTTCGTCAACTTAGTGAGTTTGATAGGGGCCGTATAGTGGGACTTTCTTTTCGGGCAATTGCAGTTAGAGTGCAAAGAAGTGTAGACACTGTGGTTAGGTGTTATCAGGCATGGCTTCGAGAAGGCCGTACGCAAAGAGTAAGGGGCACTCGACGCCGCCGTAGAACAACAGACCGTGAAGATCGCCGCCTAAGATTATTGACCTTAAGGGACCGTTTCTCCACTACCAGGTCCACTGCAAATGAATGGTTTGCAGAACACGGAAGACCTATTGGCATGCGAAGTGTTTACCGACGAATGAGAAGTTTTGGCTTGTTTTCATACCGGCCACACGACGTAATCGCCTTGAGTGGTGCAGACAACGGTCACTCTGGGATCAGGAATGGAACAGTATTGTCTTTAGTGACGAGTCTCGATTTTGTTTAGGCATGCACGATGGTCGTGCCAGGGTTAGAAGGCGACGTGGTGAAAGGAGGAATCCACAGTTTTTTGTTGAAAGACATGTTCATCACACTGTTGGAGGGTTTGGGGTGCTATCGCTTATGGTTCCAGGTCACCTTTAATCTTCATCAGAGGTAACATGAACGCGCAGCGTTATATCCACGAAGTTCTAGAACCCTATCTTTTACCCTATCTTAACACCCTGGCAGATCCAACTTTCCAACAAGTTAATGCCCGACCACATGTTGCAAGAGTCACAATAGACTTTTTTCAACATAATGATGTCACATTGTTACCATGGCCACCAAGATCTCCCGACTTATCCCCAATTGAGCACGTGTGGGATATGATGGGTAGGAGAGATTGCTCAATTTGCAACGTCCTCCTCAGACTCTAGAAGCACCTCGAGAGGAGTTGGTGGTTGCCTGGAACGAGATACCACAGAAGGACATTGACCACCTGATCAGAAGCATGCCTAGGTGCGTTGGAGAATGCGTAGCACATCAGGGTGCATCCATACATTATTAAAGGTCAAAGGGCTTTAAAGCAGTGCAATCATTTTGAAATTTTTATCATTTACTTATTATGCTTCATTAAGTACTTATACAAAATTTTATTAAAATAAAACCATTTAAACTGGGTGTTCGGATTTATATGTCACTTAGTATAACTACTTGAATAATCATAACAGCTTCTTAAAACATGAGTATTCTAATTTTTTGTCCAAAGTTGTAAGCATTTTAGTTCTAAATATGTCTTGTTAACAACATTTCACCAATTGGTTTAAATACAAACCATTGTATCTGCTCATACATTTTATGTGAGATTTAAAAATAAATGAATACTGATAAGATTGTATATTAACTTATATACATATATAAATAAGAAAATAGATACAACTCTTGCAGATATGTTTTAATACATTTCATTGCATATTAGCTTTCTAACTAAATATGATCTTAGTGAATGAAACAATAATTTTGTGAGCATCAGATTAAGCACTGATGTATTCTTGTGTCCTGCATAGTTGTGAAGAATCTACCTCGCATATAGGTGATGCATAGATCTTGTTCAATATTATCACTATTGTCAAAATCTTGCTCTAAATATCTAACGTTTCTCAAAATATCCTGTTACTTCAAAATTTGAATACCTGACTCTACAGCCCTGTTGTTGAGATGAAGCCACAACCTGACAGGCATTTATTTTATTAAGTATTTGTTGAACTTCCTTTCAAACATATCTAATGACTGATGCCTACTAATAACTTTCTTATAGTTCCTTTCACTTTGTGACACTGTGTAATAAAAAAAAAGAATGTGAGGAGAAAATCAAAGTCGAATATTGTTTTTAGTTAACACAATATTACATTCTACTACTGAGGATAATAAAAGATATATGAATATTTTGCTTTTTAGCTTTTTGGTGCAAGCTTTAACCAAGTTTTAATGGCATTTTCTTCACACATCTTTTTTGGTAGCATTGGTGCCAGAAAGAACAGCCCCTTGAAATAAAATTTGAATATATAGATGTGATATAATCAGCTGTATACAAAATAAGATTAAACAATCCAACCATAACTTAAAATCAATATAATTTGACTGGGGAAAAATAAAATATGACAGATAAAATGCAGAATAAATTGTCTGATAGAACATCCTATGTTTTAGTTCTTTTATTAGTAAATATTTTTTTACTTGTTTACCTATATATAAAGCTGTCACATGAAAAAGGATTTTTGAATATAGTTGTACATCAAGTCTTGTATGTTACATCAGATACAAAAAACAAAATTTGTAAGCAATAATGGGTCTTGAAACTGTTTGGGAACCTATAAAGATCTGTTAGTACCTACTTATTATAACCTTGTTGAGAAATGAAGTTTTGAACGCCTTCTTCTCTTGTCTAGTTCCCAAATAATTGTAGCTAACTGCCAAATGATTAGATATTAGGCGCCTCAAAATTACATATGTTCTATTGGTAATATCACGTCCCCCTAACTCCAAAAAGTAGAAGATCGAAAAAAGAAAATAATATCCTCCTAGTTTGTTCATATAACCAACTAAAGTCCTAATGACATGTATCAAATCCCATGGCTACTGCTATTCAGTATAAAAATGCTGTACAGCTTTACTTTCGCCGAACAGACTCATTGTTCTACAAACAGTTTGTCATAAAAGTCTTGCAGGTAATGAAGTTTTGCAGTTTAATTAGCAGCTGCATTATTTGAAAAATATTCAAATTGAATTGATGCTGATCCTTGATGACTGGTATAGAGAGACTTGAAGTAATTAAATACATTTCAGGGGCGTATTGTCAGGCATTCTTACCTTACAATTGAAGGATGCCTTTGTGGCCTCCTTGATTTTCATAGTATTTTCCCCTCTTCAAAAGGCTGGGGTTGTGAAGTTATGTTTTTTTTCTTGAATCGTAGAAAATTTCAGGCTGATAAAATAGATATAAACCAAAAGTATGAACATTTTGGTGCGAATATATATGTAACATAACCTCAAAATCGAGCGGTAAAACGGAACAGTAGAAATCTGTGAAAATCAAGGAGGCCATAAAGGCGTCCTACGATAATTGTTGGGACGACTGACGATAGCGATACGGCCCTTAATTATAGGTAAAGTTTGCAGAATATAGCTACCGTCCTCAAAAAACACTCTTCCGATATCGTACTGCTTATACGGTACTTGTTCGTACTTGCTGCTTATATGGTGGCCACCACACCCGTTTCTTTCTCGGCGTCTGCCACCTTTCATGCACTATGGCAATATCGCCCCCAGCACCACGACCAATTTCATCTGAAGATTCTATTTCTATGCCTATGGCTCATGCAAAGAGATACTGTCACGACACTGTTCTTGATTAAACGATGAGCAGGAACACAGTATGGCTTTTGTTAACGCACTTAAACTTTAGAATTTACAGGAGATACGTGCACATTTCGCAAAATGCAAAATTGATGCAGGATGAAAAAGACGAACCCGACTTAAGAAACCACATGAGGTTCCTGTGGGGGAGCACGGGGAGCGCGGGAATGACTTTGATGAATATGAATATCTACGTCAATTCCACGACACCGCGCTGGCTGTGTGGTGCCAAATACGTAGGAGGTCTTACTGAAGGCTGGAGGTCACAAGCCACACGGATAGGTAAAATTCTAATTTGATAATTTACTTTTAGTATCATCATAGTTAATCACAAGCCTGAAACCAAATGAAGTATAAAGGAGAAAAAAGAGTCCCTGCCTGACACGTCATATCCTTTTTTATTTCCTTTTACAGTGTTGACTTGTCTGGAGTCATTCGAAAAATGGATTTTATGTAGCATTTAACAAGGTACATGGTTTATAGTGAGTTCGTTGCATATATGTTTTGAAAAAAAATTGTAGTCTTCAACGTTATCAAGTAAATTTTGGAAGAAAATTGCTAAAAAAACTCAGACCAAGCTAGATACAAAGAAAAACAAATCAAAAAGTTCACGATATAAACAGCACAAAAATACATCGTGCTATCTTCGGGTCATCACTTTGCATATTGGGCAGCTTCATGAAGAAGTTTAGGAATCCAAGAATAAGGATTTTAAGTTTGTTCGAGGACACCAAACTGGAAAAAACTCAGTGTATCATACCGATGAAGATTTATTAACTACTTATCTAATGTGATCCACCGATCCGTCGATCTTACAAATTCATAAACAGAAGAATCACAAAAACAATCTGAAACTTGATCCTATAGTTATAATTTTACTGAAATGCCCGCATATTTTTCATGTGTACGAACAAGTGAAAAAGTTAATTTAAGTTCAGGTCCTGATTAATACGATGACAGATTGTAATTTAAATAAAGTTGTTAATAAAGCATAATGAATAACTATTATTATAATCAATATATTTTATATATAATTCAAATTATTTATCTACCTTTTCTCGGCTCACCGTAGTCCTGTGCAGAAGGTATGGGAAAACAGAAAAGTTTGTTATTCGGAAGAAATAACTTCTTATCGCAGCTCTGCTATGAGCTTTCAATTTCTTGGGATTCTTGGGATAAATGAACAGGTGTTATAGAATGTCTATAATCAAAATGGTATCTTACGCCCTCCTTAGGGCTACAGAAAATTCGAAAGAAGTACATTTAAAATTGAAATTGTAAATATACTAAGGACGTGAAAAAATTCAGCAAAAAAGATTCACTAAGAAAATACTCAACCATATGAAAACCACAGAACAAACATTCAAAAACGATGACAATAAACGCGCGTACATATTAAAAGTTATTATATGATAATTCAGACTCCAGCAAATTAAACATGTTGGAACGTTACAAGAAGCGTCACAAAAACCAGATTTAAAAAAAATCAACGTACAAGTAAGAAAAACAGTAAATGCCAGAACATCCTTACGTTTTGGACGAGACATGCTAAACATGTGTCAAGGGAAATAAATATCCCTCAGGTCAAATAAAAAATAAAGAGTGGAACATAAAAGCAGAACAAAGAGATTCCACTTAGCCCACATTAATCCAACTGAAGCTAATCGGAAGAAATCCAGACTGTTTGTCACCAGATATATATGTCTACGAGGAGCAATCACGAATTCTGAATTAACATTACACTGCTTAGGGTTTAAATCTGATAAATCTCTTAATCAAGAATTCACCTATGGTCAGTGTTTGTTTTCTCTTCGCTGCATTGTTATGTGATAAGATGAAAACGATTTCATCAATTCAGAGTTTTTTTTTGTAATTGCTTTCATTGTCTAGTAGAACTAAGTCAGAGTTGAAATTATGATTATTCTGGCTTCCTGAGTTTCCAAAGCTATCCCTATCATTCCTATGTATATATTTATGTTATCCTCGGAATCTAAGATATTCATAATCTGATACAATGATCGAGACAATTTGTCATCTGCAATCAACCTACACTGCATTAAACTTTTTCACAGTATATCTCGAGGTACGTCTGTCCGAACATCTTGAATAGTAATTCAGAATCTGCATCGCAAATTGCAGTTTGTGAGCTAGTTTATATGCAGAGCACCAAACATCCTCTTATCGGATACCAGGACTCGGGCTTATTGGCCGATAATTGCGACGATTATCTCCTCCTTGTTCATCCTTAGATCCTCAGCTGATTATTTTAAGATAATGCCATTCTGGGCTGTTTGGTAGTCTTGTCGACGAAAGGTCGTAGTGGTGAGATTGATTTGTTCAGACGATAATTTTGCTTATAGAGCCATGCGGTTCTACGGGCTAATAAGGTGATTGATTTTCTTCCCACGGCAAGTAGCGAGGAAGCATTGTAATAAAGAAAAACCTTGACAGTGGGATATTATGTTTTTTGGTTGTTACATTGGATGTACAGTCTGCAAACACTAGATCGCTTATAACTCGGAAACGGTCAACTTTGAAGAAAACTTACTAAGGACCTTTTTTGTGCAGAATGTAAAAATCTTTCTGGAGCGAAAAAAACATGTTTGTGCAATTTGTTTTAAAAAAATTGTTTGATCAAATTTGAACCGCGCTACCTCTTGACTCATGCTAAGCGGCATTTAACTACCGTGATTATGGAACAAAATTCTATAGTTGGAAAACTTCTCTTACGAATGCAAGTTGTTATCCTCATCCAATATCTTAGCATCTGCTCTAATTGATCACTGGGCACTAATTCAGATTGATATAAGTAGTCTTAACTGACAAACAAATTCCTCACATTTCATTAAATCTCCTTTTGAAGCCCCAAGTTACATTAAACACTATCAGGTATGTCAAGGTATTTTTCATGTTTCAGCATGCATCCAGGTAGGCATGCTTAGAGACTGTAACATGTGGTATAAGGTATGAATAATTTTTTATTTTTTTTTCTGAGAAAATATAATGTTAGCATTTATGGACTCGTCTGGCAACGTCGCATCACTTTCAAGGGCAGGGGGTCCGCGAAAACAATACCTTCAATGCTTTAAAAATATAAATTTTTAAGGTTGTCCAGTATCTAAATTAAGGTTAAAACCTTCCCCTAGAAAATCCAGAAAGGTTTTTTTAGATTCGCTTAAGTCGAAGCAATTTTTAACCATGTTTGGCATGTCAAAATTGGTGAACGTTTGATTTTCGCAGAGTATACCTACATCATGAAAGACGTAAGACCTTCTGTCTTCTGCCAAAAACAGTCCGATGGTTTGGCCGAAGGTTTAAAAAACCAGTAAAATTACCTGTTAGCCGACCAATTAGTACCAGTGTATATATTGTCAAATATGTAGTTCTGTCGAAATAAGACAGCGCAAAGCCCCATCTATTACCAGAATCGACCAATGCGAGAGCTAGTTGTTGAAAGTGTAAAAACCTTACTTCGCGTTTGTTAGCTCAGTCACCACTGTGACCGCTACATGGCTGACGGTTCTGGCTCTATAGTAGGTGTGGTTTACTCGCCATTAAACAACAACAGTCCATGGTTGGCCGCCTTTGGTCTGACAGACGAAAGCCGTACGTTTAGTTATTTAGTGGCGCACTACATCTACCATTTGGCCAGAATCGTTAGCAATCTAGAGTGGTAACTGGGACATCAAACGCGAACTGATATATTCACAGTTCCAACCAGAAGTTACTATACGCTCTCGCAGAGGTTGACTCGGGTAATAGATAACGCTTTGCACCGGCTTATTTCAAGAGATTTCATACCTTGGATAGATGATATTTTCTATGCTTTAATCCATTGTGTCACAGACCATGCTGACGAGCTGCCAATGAGCAAGAAAGATCTGTCCATTATTGACTGACCTTGGCTGGTCGGACGAAATCAGCATGTTTAGTCATTTCAAACCAACGATTATGAAAAATCTAACTTACTATGTGGTGTTCATTATGTTACTATTTTTTGCTCTGATTATAATCATAATAATAGTTGCCAGTATAGACCTATTCTACTATCATTGGTGTACATCATAATTTGTTTTTAAAACTGACGCTTACTTGGAAGGTATGATTTAGGAAATATTTCACACAGCAGCTATTTTAGATGTTAAATGGTAAATGGTAAAATTATATCAGCAAATCGGATGTTTCCGATATAGCCCCGTTGAGGTGTAGCTAGTTTTAATATATATTCCGAGTCAAGAATGCCAATGAAGATTTCATCGCCAGAACGCTAAGAATATATGATTACAAAAAATATTTTCGGTTTATTAGCGAAAATAATTCGAATTCTAAAAATCTCTGTGAGTTTATCTGATTCCTTTAACTGGCTTGGTGTTTCTTAGCAGTATATTAAATATGTAGTGATTTATATTTCCACACTCATCAAGTTATTTTGACTTTGTTTTTAATTTTAAAATTATTCCATTCAACGTTACACATGAAACATAAACTGCTATTTGTAAGAAGCGAATGGGGAGGCGCAAATGTTCATCATTCTGAATAACCCTTCGTTCAAATATTGTGTTAAAAGCCAAACATCGTCAGACAAAAAAATATATACCGGGTGCTTCAAATTCGACCGTCACCATTACGAGTCACTTAAATAGGTGCTAAGTTGTATATTTAGGTAACTAACAAAATCCCGGTTAGCAAGTTTTAAAATTCAAAGTATCTACCTATCGAGATAGACCCAAAATCGCTTTTTTCTGACTTTAGTAGTAAGATTGCAGAATAAATTGCACATTAACATTTCTCCTCTACAAGATGGTATGATTAGAATTTCAATATGAGGTTTTATCTACTGTCATTCAGTATCAACTTTATTTTTTGACCTGGAACAAATGACTATCTGATGATTAGGGTTACCTATAAAATTGTATTTAAAAAAAATTAATGTTTGGCACTGTCAAAATATGACATATTATACATTTTTGGAATAAGAATTAGAAACTATATTCAAATGTGCAAAAATCCAATGAGGCATCCTTAAGAAAAAATAGAGTTGATGCTGGAATTTATTTTAAGATCTTATTACAAATAAAATCAGTTGTTTCCGTCTCTCTCGGGAAGGAATTTAAGCATTTTCTAAGCATCATTTTCGTAATAGACAACTTTGCCCCATTTAAGCGACTTCGTATCTGTTACCGTTTCTAAGATCTCATTGGTAAGGTTCGAACTTGAAATACTCGGTATGTAAATGTTCGTATCAACCTTCCTTAGCTGCAGTCCAGCAGCCTCTTCGGCAGTTTGACATATCGTCTTCCAGTCTAGTTGCGTCACGCGCCGGTTGGCCATATAATCGAGCTCTGTGTGGTCTTCGGACACACAGGGCGTAACACGTGGCGCGCACGACGTGTCGCGAGACTGCTAAGCAGGCCAACATCAGCTTAACAACCCTCTACGACGGAGCTGCTTGTGCTTGTTCTCCATCTGGCGCGAGGAGGATCTAATCTCGGTGGCGACCCCGATAGCTGGGATCGAAACTACATCAGTTGCAGACGGTGGTTAATGCTCTCCAGAACCGTATTGTCTTGCTATGTGACTCATTCGTTTTTCGAGACTCAAGCAAGAAATCTGGGGATATGAGAGTACCGAAAAAAACTGCCATACGAATTTTTCAAAAACAGTTTCTATGAATAAATATGTCGAACTTAGAATTGTACATTCCTGTACCTTTTGTGATTGACGAACAAATCGTGATCTCAGAACAAACTGTTCTGTGGAGCTGAAAATCTTGTAAACGTGCCTCTTTCTTTCCAACAAAGCCCTCAAGTGGATATTAAAGAGTTTTTAGTGCAGCAAAAATAACGAACCATTAAGTCTTTCGTTACGTTAGTTTTGACAGCGACAACAGATAAGTATGGTTGCCCAACAACAGTTTTTATGACCACTAAAGTGAGTCTTAGTATTTTGACACCACTGCATTCTGACAGGCATATCAGGTTGCTTAATCATTGGATTGTTAATCTAACTTGATATTTTATCAAACCCTCGTTAGTCTCTTTCATGGAAAAGATTTGTTAATATTTGTCTCGAAACCGTCAAAAAATTAGTAGGTAGAATCATAGAACTACAGAACGGCAAGTGACCACAAAGCTAGCAGAACTGCAATAAAAGGCTACCTTGTCACATGGCAGATTTTAACAAAAATCAGCACAATTTATTTACAACACTTAGTATTTCTTGCATTTATTTTTACATGTGATCCAAAAATCATTCCTTGGGCATGGGAGATGTAGTGGAGGCGGCAGAACCCCAAACAGGTGAGCAGTACTCGAGGCTAGGTCTTATCTGGGCCTTGTACAGAGTGAGGAGGTCATGTGGAAGAAAGTACTTCTTAATCCTAGACAAATAGCCTAGCCTTTTCCCAGCAGCTGCCGCTAATGACGAGATGTGTTTGTTCCAGATCAAGTGCTCGGTGATCTGGACTCCAATCGAATTGTTTATGTAGTATATGTATAGACTGCCAATCTCGGTAATTTTACGCGCCTATTAGATTTATTTCACAGATCATAAATTTCCCCCTACATTTCTGTAAGTAAAAAATGACTGTGGGCTAATTGTATGAACCTGTTTGACTGACTTGATCCGTTCAGTTTCTCTGTTCTCGTAACTTTTTCCTCAGTGGAACATGATCCTTTATGCACTGCGTTGCGATACAAATGCGGAGTCAACCTACTTGACGTCATTTTTCCATCTGATGCTTCTTTCCTCACTCATGCTATGAACTGTTTAACGCTTGGTGACTGTGTGTCCTATACGCATCAGGCGCGGACTGTGTGGGGCCTTGACTTCCATGAGAAAGGTAATAAAATGCTCGAACTTACTGACTATGAAATTCAGATCAATTAGACCGATCTTTCTTCCTGTATCTCTCAAATGTCAAGGCTGGTAAAGCAAAAAAAGGCTTCCTCACAACAAATAGGCCTTAAATAAACATTGTATTACTTACTGTCTTCAACTTACCTATCAGCTTCTATATCTTTTGTCGCCTTATTGCTAATCCGATGGTCCACCAACAAGAGAACGCTATTAAAAGTTTCCGACTTATATCTCGATCGGCAGCTCACCGCCCACGCCATGGTGTCTGCGAGCTTTAATCCCGATGACACTTTCTCCGATCTGCCTCCCCAATAGTTTGCACGGAGGGGGACTGGATAAAGGAAGTTGTTGCGGTGGCGGAAAGTTTCTTGTATTATTGTGTTTGGCATGCTCCAAAGGACAATTCGTGGATGACTTGCGGGACTGGATTGGATGGGATGCGTCAATATGGATTAGTATTTGGAAGTCTGGTGGAGAGCAAGCTCAAAAGCCTTTTAGGATAGAAGAGTTTAAAACCGACTGTATTGAATCTTCGGTTCGATTTTACCGTTGACCGATGGCAGGCAAAATTTGAGCTTTTGGCACACGTTGAACCAATGAGAAGGCGTCTTTGAAGTATAGGATCCAATGAATTTGGTCTGAATAAGCGCAAACGGAAGGTGCTGCTGAATGGTAATGTGTCGGATGCTCTAGATGTGGTTGCTGGTGTCTCCCAGGGATCAATATGGAGACCTTTATATAGTTTCCACTTCACAATTTCAACAAGCTGCCAGATACTCAAAGTTGCAGCTATATGCGGATGATACTCGGCTTCTCTATTCATTTCGCCCAGATGAAGTAGATGAAGGTTGTAGTAGAATAGCGGTTACCTCGAAAGTATCTCCGATATCTCTGAGCAGCATTCCTTGTACCTCAACCCTGACAAGTCAAACTTTATTCTTTTTAGTTCCAAAAAAGTTCGAAACCTTATTAAAGATAAAATAAGTATTCATATTAATGGCGTTGCAATAAATAAGCAAACCGAAGTAAAACATTTAGGAGTATTACTTGATGAAGATTTGCGTTTCAAGGATTATTCAACTAATTGTATAATGCAACCTAAAAAACGTCTTTGGCTACAGAGATCTGTTAAATATCGATACCAAAATTTCATTGACAGATGCTCTGGTACTATCAATGTGATGAGATAGTGATATTGTCTGCAACAAATTTATCGATAACAATGACGTAAAAAATACAAAAAGTTCAAAACTCGTGTTTACGACTCATTCATCGAGTTCTTTGTAGAAAACGTATTTCACATATGGTAGTCGAAATAAACGGGTTAAATATGAAAGATAAACGAGAACTGCATAGCGGATGCTTTTATCATAAGGTTGTGACCATGAAATGAAGTTGGAGCCTTTTTTTATATTCCAACTACCACGAAGGCCTAAGGCCTAAGCACCCATTCGCTACCGTGGGGCTATGGGGGATACATGGGGAAGGGAGGGACGCCACACGGACTCTGGCGAGGGAACACGTGTGCATGCAACATGCACACATTCTGGCACCGCCTACGAGAACTGCCGGGTGGTACCTCCGCGTTCGACAGTCAGAGACCATCTACCGCCTACGGACAATCACAACATCCATAGCCAAGAGAAAAATTTCTCCTGGGACGGGACTCGAACCCCCGCACAGCGCACGGCGACTGATCAGGAGACCGAACAGTCTACTACTGCGGCCACCGCTGCTGCCTGGACGTTTGCGTTTCCATCATATCACTTATATAATTAAATAAAAATTAGCTACACCTCTGCAGAACAACATTCGCTGATATGATTCTACAACATTTAACATGTAAAACCATTGTTCCAAGTAGACGTCAAATTTAAAAACAAAGTTGTCATGATTCATTATCTTATTCCGGTACTAGGCATAACGTTTTAAATCTTATTATAAAAGTAGTAGTAGTAAATAGTAGCATATCAACATCACAAGTGAGAGTGTCAAGATTTGACAACATGTACAGTGGCATTAACTGGGAGGCTAACCGATAATTCTACTTTTTGCTAGTAAAACGTATATACACATATTTCAATACCCCTTAAAACATTTTAAAAGGTTTATGTGACAGCTGAAACTTCCCAACTAGCAAAGTAGTGCTATAAGCTTTTGGTAAAAAAAACGTTCAGCCATAAAAGCTCTCTATTGTTGTTGCCTGAACACCAAAATGCTGGCTTAATGTTGTTTGGAGTGCAAATCTGCTTTCTGCAACATATTTGCTCTAAAATGTCTTGTTTAAAATATTCTTATAGCGTAGTTACACAACACCTGATAGGACAAATTATCAACTGTTGCATAAACGTGTATACAACTATTTTATATGGCATATTTGCAGCTTAGTCAAAATGGTTGTGTTGTGGCTTCCATAGTAACGTTTATAAAAGAAACCCGAGCCTTGTTGTTTTGCTGTGCAAATTTACTACTTTAGCCACCAAATTGCCCCAACGGAAGCACTTATACAACTGTTGTTTAGTAACTGTTAAAGGCTTTACATATCCTAAATATGTTGGTATACAACTTCATCATAACCTAACTTTCTGCTGTCATATTTTTGTTAAAATGCCATAACCAATGCTTTTAGACAAACAACGCATGCATATTGGTTAAAAAGGTTTTATCACTTTTCAAACAGAAGATATAGATCTGATACAAATTCTAAGTAAATCATTCGACTCTGTCGGTATTTCATTTCTGACATTTGTCAAATTGTTGTATAACACCTGCAGGCAACACCAAAATATTCTAATAAACTTACGACATGGACGATGCCATGATTATACACAACCACCCGCCATATTGGGCAGACATTTATTCCTCTATTTGATATTAAATAATTATGTTTCAGTTCGAAATTACAGATATAAAGTGATGAACATTAGTGTAATTGTGTCTAAATATAGGATTTGTGGAAGATTTAACGCAGATAAGTTCAGTTTTCCATCTTAAAAATCTAGACATACTTTTGATCATTATCAAAATATGAATCAAATACGAAGCCCGTAGAAATTGCTTAACTACTTTGCACGATAATCACAATAGAATTTGCTGCGCAAGTAATTCAATCGCCCTATATCACAGTGTAGAAGTTTATCATATACCTGTGTATGAAATTCACAATGGCCGATATGTAAGTAAACAAGAAGACTGTATTGTGTTAGTTATATATATTCTTCACTTCGTCTATACAATACATAAGAAATAGTTTTGGTTGCAATAAAGTAGAATCACGTAACAGAATATTTGTATAGTTGACAAAAACTGAATCTTGCACTGACGCAAATGTCCTATAGCGGCTGCAAGAGGTTTACACTTTTGTTGTATAACTGTTACCTGCAGCCCTTATACAACCCCTTAAATGAGTGGTGTCCTATTAGGAGTGCCCATTCCGCTTGTATAGCTGTTCTAAGAGGGTTTTGCCAATGTTCTTACAGTATACAATGCTGTGTAAGGAATACTGTATAGTCATTCTTGCAACTCTAATAGGAGTGATAATTGTTAGTTGGGTTACCCTGTGGTCTTCATGACAATAATCTCTCAGGTTTGTCTGTCCATTCAAAACCACAAATTCTTGAGATTCTTTGTTATTGAATGGAGATCTTCTTCAAGTCTAATTGAACCTAAAAAACTGACTGGCGAGAAAAAAATATTTTTTAGAATTTTTTAAGAAAAACTGTTTAAACAATTTCTAACGCAATCTTAGAATTTTTCTCTCAGCACATGCTAAGATACTTCCCGTTGTATTTATCAGGCAACGAATAATCCAAGACCGTGGAGACATGTGAACTTTTTGAGAAAGGTGCTCATTCCCACGAAAAGTTTGCTACTTCGACTGACAAACCGTCAAGGTTGGGTGCTTCGTTGTACAAAATATCTCGTAGGAACAGCAAAACCGCATAGTGTTCAGTAAAAGTTACTTGTTTGATTAGAGAGAGGTATCTTCCTATAAATTTTGTAAACAATATTTTTAAACATAGTATTTCATAATAGCGAAGCTATTGACCGATTGCGCACTAAAAACTCACACTGTATGCATACCGACAACCACTAAAAATTACATTTATAAAACTGTCGATCGATCAACAAGAAAAGGGTAAAATTCTCTCTCTCCTACTCTCCCGATAAGATCAAATTTCATGGAGAGGGCTGAACATCAAGCACTAACAAACAGTTACCCGTTGTCCGTAAGAGCAACATCAAATTTGTTTATACTGTTTATTACAAGGGTATCGGAATACTTGGATCAACAAGATGATGTTTGAATAAGTGAACTGCCCCTGAGGGTGCTCGGATGGGAGAACCCAAGAAATCTGCATTAATTCGGTGTACGGGACCTTGTCAAATTAATTCTGGATCGGCTAGCTGCATCAGTGACGGATAGAAGGGTTTCCCAAGGTATCACAAGCTAGAGTCATATTGTTAAATGTCAGGCTGGTCCTTGGTAGCTCAGCTCCCAAGTCGTAATATCAAGGGCTTAGAGCAATAAGGTTCCTAAGCGACGTTGCACTCATTTCAAGAAATAGAAAGTTATAACTTTGATGAAAATCATATAATCACGTTTCATGCTTAATTTCGATTGAAATGATACAGGCGTACATTTTGAGGAACAAAGACTTGATTACGGCAGAATCTTAAAAATATGAAACATTTTCGAAAAAAAGATTTTTGAAAACATTATATGTCTTGGTGCCTTATTGAAAAAAGTTGTACTCAAGGGTAATTTTAATGAATTGTAGCTTAAAAAGAACTAAAAAGCATGGTTCAATAGCTAAACAAACCAAAAAGTAGGAAATAATTTTCAGGTATATGAGATTTTGTGTTACTGCAAGAGAAGGTTCAATAATCAAGTAAAATTCATTAATTTGTAATGGGATCAATATAAAGAATAGGATAATAACAAAAAATCCAATAGTAGCAACAAAAACTCATATACTTGAAAATTATTCTCTACCTTTTAGATCGATTTGCATCCAGCTGTATCTGACAGACTGAAAAAAGCTGCTTAGTCTTTCTAGACGCCGTTGTCTTTTATGGAATATTTTCGTACTAATAGTAGTAACAGTAAGTACTAACACTGGCTAACAAAAAAAAATATGTTTCTTGGTTCTAAGTAGCCAAGTTCAACTAATTTTTTGGTCGAGATAAACAAATGTGGTCATTAATTTTTTTTCAGCTCTTGTATTTAAGACACTCATTTTTTACATAATATCCCTGCCGGGCTGTAAAAGTTATTTCACCACAAAGCTGTAGACGGCATTGACACTTTCGTGACATTCCAATCTGAAACAGGAAATTGGGAACATAAGTCATTTGTTATGATGATTAAACATTTGAAACTTGATTGAAAAAGCTAACAGAAGATTAAACAGGATCATGCATCCGTTTCCTATGTATTCAAATATTAGCAAGGCTATATATGTATATTGTAACGTAGTTATCATACACATAGTACGGTAAACACGAGTAAACAGCATATTAAAAATATAAAATACAGAAATTAAGAACTGGAAAGGTGCAGTAGTTCTGTTTCACCAACACTCGTCTAAAACTACTTACTGTTATCTATGTAGAATCTAGACAACAGAAACGTTTCCACAGTTCATTCGTCATCAAAATTATATCAAAATTATTATACGTATATATTAAAATTGATTTGACCTTCCCTTTAAAAAGCTCCAACGGCAGACCCCTAACACTCTCAGGACGGTTATTATGGTATTCAACTCCAATGCTTTTGGCTACATTAATTCTATTTCTTGGAGGTCTGGAGGCCTAGACCGTCTGGGGTAAGCGTTCCCGCTCCCGAAAGTGACGTCTAGCCCCCCAAAACGACAAGCAAGTTTGAGGTTGTCTGTCAATTCTTTAATGTACCAGATACATCACCCTTGTCCATTGTTCCGAGACCTCTATAGTCTTCAAAACACGCGAAAAACTCACCAGTAACTGTTTTCGTAACACACTGGTTAATTTTTATGCCAACTTCGACTGAAATGTTGCAACTACGTCGCTTGCGGATCTGAAACGCGAGAAATAGCACTTCGAAAAGATACAACAGTTTAGCCTCAAAACTATTGTTTAATTTTATATATACATATATGAGCAGTAGTCATTGCCAAAGCCAACGACCAGTTGGGCACAAAATACAGTTAATTGTTAGTTGGGAAATTGGGATATTTTTTATGCTTAAGTTGACTCTTTTGTCGATAAAATCAAGCTTTCGACATTCTCTATGGAGCCTTCATCAGAATTCTGAAAACACAATTGTGATGCTAGCAAAGAATACAGGGCCGATTGTAATTGTCGAACAACTTACTCGTCATTGAGGTTGCAGCCACAACGTGTTTCAAAACAAACGTAGAGAAGATAGAACTTGTTATAAATATAGAAACAAAAGGACGGAGACATTGGATATCTGTCGTTATCAACAAGCCCAATGTCTCCGTCCTTTTGTTTTTATATTTATAACAAGTTCTATCTTCTCTACGTTCGTTTTGAAACACATTGTGGCTGCAACCTCAACGACGAGTAAGTTGTTTGACAATTTGATTCGGTCCTGTATTCTTTGCCAGCATCACAATTGTGTTTTCAGAATCCTGATGAATGCTCCATAGAGAATGCCGAAAGCTTGATTTTATCGTCAAAACAGTCAACTCAAGCCTAAAAATTTGCCAATTTCCCAATTAACAATTAATTGTATTTTGTGCCTATATATATATACATATATTATATATATATATATACAGGGTGACTTTGAAGTTGAGTCATTAATTTTCAGATAATGATTGTAGAAGGAAGATAAACCAAAATATGTGTGTAAAAATAAAAAAAAAATAAAAAAATGTTACCTTGTTTAATAAAGTATCGTCCAGACAATTATTTCAGTGCGGACCTGTATTTGATCGTGCGGTCTTGGAGCAGCATGCCCTGACCTGTGAGGTCTTAAGTCACCTGATTCACGAGCCCTTTGTACTACATTAACAAAGGCACGAGGGGTTGGTTGCACTCGATTGGGAAACCGATTCGCATAAATCCGTGATGCATCCGGGAGCATTTTGTAAAGACTGCCCCCCCGTAAATAAGAATCATGTCCACAAGCTCAGCATTTTCGTAAACATGTGTCATTTTTGATTTCGTTTGAGCCACGCAACAAACACTACTATTCACTAACGCGTTATCGACTGACGAAAAACATCGTGATAAACGTTTCAAATTCTTTCGCTTTTTTGTTTCCGATGCGATGAACCGGTCAGGCGGATTATATCCGTTGTCGCCAAATACGAACATATAATATTATTATTGAGACAGGGCGGTACTCAAACTTCCAAAGGGCTATAACTTTGTTACTTTAATTTTACCAGAAAAATGGTAAAGGAAAAAAACATTTCTTTTGATCAGATCTACTCACTGTTAAAATAAATGACTCAACTTCGAAGTCACCCTGTATATATATATATATGTACAGGGTGTTACGGAAATAATATCCGTGGAGAGGTGATTCCTTATTTATTCTAAGCAAAAAAATTCATTATAACTTATGTCCGAAAATCAATCGTTTTCGAGGAAAGTGAGTCGTAAATAATTAAATTTTCTCAAACATTTAGCAACGCTGCAACGCAACCGCGATGCGATACGATTCATTGAATTGTTTACGTTTGTTTGATATTTTTGCTGAAAATATGCCTTGAATTATTGAACACTTTTACGCAATTTTTTGTGGCTAATATTTTTATTTAATAACGCTTTCAGTACAGTACATTTACTTAAAAAAATGACAGAACTTACCAGTACGTGGCGATACCCACCACCAATTCCTAAGATTATCAGTCGCTTATTTGAAACGATGCGATGCACGAAAAAAGAAAAAAAACAACATCCGTAAATCACATGAAGTTACAATTAAATGTATTAGCAGTCACAACAACACGCAATGAAACATGCAGTGCAGGCGGTGTACAACGTTGCCAGTTGTGTGAGGGATTTTGTTTGTCTGTTTTTCATCGGAAAATTGTATTTAATAAGCAAGAAAGTTATTTTGTTAGAGACAGCTAATCAAGAAATAGATGTATTGATACATTTTACGCTACTAGGCATATGGATTTAACTTATTAAGGTGCAAAATTAATTTATTTCATGACTAAAAAGAAATAAGTTCAGCATTGTTTTGCTCCGAAACGGTTGACTTTCGGACATAGGTTATAATGAACTTTCTGCTTAGAATAGTGCAAGGAATCGCCTCTTAAAGTTACGAATATCATTCTCCTAACACTCTGTATATTCCTTTAGTAATTGTTATTATTTCTGTATTGTATTGAGATGCCTTCCTATTTTACCGTCTGTCATGCTCCCGAACATGTTCGCGTAGTACTAATTTTCAGGTTTCCTCCAAGTAGGTTCTATTTCTTGAAAAGAAGAGCTAATCTGAACTTTCTGTGGCGATGTTCGTATTTAGCCAGACAAAATGCTATTTTTGAACATGAAGCATTTTCAGCTTATATCCTCTTGATAGGCACGTCGACGTGCCAACACTGCGCTGGTCTGGACCGGCAGCAGACGCTGGAGGCCTTCAAAGGGAATCGCCGAGCGAATTCTAATGTTCGGCGGTTTTCTTGGCAACCCGAAGTGCGGTGCATGCATTCAAAATACCGGCAGGCAGCAGCAGCTCTGTGTCTGTGGGTGCATTACATTCTGGTTACGTTCAGACCCTCCTTCCGCTCTCAGCGGTTTGGATAGATCTACAAATTACCATACCATCCGCAAGATTTGTGAAACTTTTACGGCTTACTTATTCGCGTGCTTCATACGAAGCTAAACTAAATGTGTGATGCTGAATTTGACGTTTAGTTGCATTCTGTCTTGCTTGGGAAAACAATAACGGGAAGCAAATGGCAGAGTCGTCCACAGGCCAAAACAGTAAACTGTATACTAAGTGACATAGAAAAAAGAACAGCTAGCCAGTAAAGGCGTCCAAAGACACCATATCTTATTTGTTTTGCATGATCAACTCGCTAATGAATGATAAGTTTGATAAACAATGAGCCATGTGTTTAAAGTTACTTTTTGTGTTTGGAGCAGGGTACTATGTGGCATTGAGAGATCTTTGAAGGTTGCGATTGATTACAATGTATGCAATCGTAACAAAAAATAATGAATTGTTTGAATTTATTAAGCGTAAGCTCGTAAGGTAAGCGTTTTTCTATAAACATTCATGTCCTGAGTGCTTGAGCATACTGTACGTTTCAATATTTATACTTAACCCTTGTCAACATTTTGACTATCTAGAATTATCTTCATTGTAGCAGATTTAATTTGATCACTCTACGCATTCATTATTTATCCCTGCATTGTAAGTTTTGAGCTATTCAAATTTAGAAATAATTTTCTGCATTTTTTTAAATAAGTGAAATAATAAGATAATTTCGTTTTACTATCATGCACCTACGGTGCCTTCACTTCAAAACTAACACTAGCCGACAACCAAGAGTTTCCTGAGCTGGAGAATATATTTTTATAAAAAACAATTTTTCTCAAACAGCTGAAATAAAAACAATCACCTAACATATTCTGATTTAAAATTTATTTTGTTTTTATAACATTTCAGAGCATACTGTCATCACAGAGTCAGTGTCGTGCTAATAGAGTTAATCAAGGTATGTAATTCTGTATATTGGCAGATTCTTAGTGGTTTTAACGCAATAATTTAAAAATCCTTTGCCCGACTGTGGTATTTAAAAATTTAATCTATAAGTGTCATAAGAGCTCAAAAAAGAAACCAAGGTTCATTCCCTCAGAGATAGAAAACTTGAAGAAAAAAAATAAAAAATGGTTTTCAACCCAATTTTTCACAAGTCGGAAATTGAAGCAAAACATTTATTTACCTGGCAATACCCTTATTCTCGTAGAGCAACCTTTTTACACGTTTTTGTCCACCTAAAATGTCCCTCAAACATTTTGCTATATTTCTCTGACTACAGCTGTATCATCGATACTTGTCCATAAATATTGCAGCATTTAATTTAAATTCAATCATTTCATTATTATCTTCATCGCTCTTGTTAATACGACGTTCGTTTACAGCTGAAATTATTTAATTTGAAATTCTGTTAATTTTCACATGCTCTACATATTTACTTAAACAAATAGTCCCGTACTGATTTGTAGTCGCTGTGTTTACTTTAAATTATGTTGAGACTATAAATATATTGGCAGAATGTTTTCACAGTATTATTGTTAAGCAGCAAACGATCATATATATACAGGGTGACTTTGAAGTTGAGTCATTAATTTTCAGATAATGATTGTAGAAGGAAGATAAACCAAAATATGTGTGTAAAAATAAAAAAAAATTAAAAAAAAAATGTTTACCTTGTTTTATAAAGTATCCTCCCGACAAGTATTTCAGTGCGGACCTGTATTTGATCGTGAGGTCCCCTGTGAGGTCTTAAGTCACCTAATTCACGAGCCCGTTGTACTACATTAACAAAGGCACGATGGGTTGGGTGCACTCGATTGGGAAACCGATCCGCATAAACATGTGCCATTTTTTATTTCGTTTGAGCCACGCAACAGATACCACTATTCACTGACACTGACTGTATACAAATGAATGGAATAATTGTAAAAAGCATCGTTCCAAATTCTTTCGCTTTTTTGCTTAGGATGCGATGAACCGATACGGCGGATTATATCCGTTGTCGCCAAACACGACCACATAATATTATTATTGAGACAGGGCGGTACTCAAACTTCCAAAGGGCTATAACTTTGTTACTTTAATTTTACCAGGAAAATGGTAAAGGAAAAAAACATTTCTTTTGATCAGATCTACTCACTGTTAAAATAAATGACTCAACTTCGAAGTCACCCTGTATATACTAAGTGACATATAAATCCGAACACCCAGTTTAAATGGTTTTATTTTAATAAAAGTTGGTGAATGTATTTATCTTACTGTAAATAACAAGTGAAAAAATTTTCAGCCTTATCAGTTGGACATTCCGGTTTTTATACTTCTTTTTTTTAATTCACTAACGCTCTAAAAATGAATATTTCAGCCGCAGTAAAGAATCAACGTTGGCGGATTTTGGATCTTGACATCCTTTAAGATCGGTTACGATGCCTTGAGTACGGAGACCTGTACGATTTCGTCAACTTAGTGAGTTTGGTAGGGGCCGTATAGTGGGACTTCGGGAAGCTGGACTTTCTTTTCGGGCAATTGCAGTTAGAGTGCAAAGAAGTGTAGACACTGTGATTAGGTGTTGTCAGACATGACTTCGAGAAGGCCGTACGCAAAGAGCAAGGGGCACTGGACGCCGCCGTAGAACAACAGACCGTGAAGATCGCCGCCTAAGATTATTGGCCTTAAGGGACCGTTTCTCCACTACCAGGTCCATTGCAAATGAATGGTTTGCAGAACACGGAAGACCTATTGGCATGCGAAGTGTTTACCGACGAATGAGAAGTTTTGACTTGTTTTCATACCGGCCACACTGGGTCCTCCCTTTAACTCGTGAACACCGACGTACTCGCCTTGAGTGGTGCAGACAACGGTCACTCTGGGATCAGGAATGGAACAGTATTACTTTTAGTGACGAGTCTCGATTTTGTTTAGGCATGCACGATGGTCGTGCCAGGGTTAGAAGGCGACGTGGTGAAAGGAGGAATCCACAGTTTTTTGTTGAAAGACATGTTCATCACACTGTTGGAGTTATGGTTTGGGGTGCTATAGCTTATGGTTCCAGGTCACCTTTAATCTTCATCGGAGGTAACATGAACGCGCAGCGTTATATCCACGAAGTTCTAGAACCCCATCTTTTACCCTATCTTGACACCATGGCAGATCCAACTTTCCAACAAGATAATGCCCGACCACATGTTGCAAGAGTCACAATAGACTTCTTTCAACATAATGATGTCACATTGTTACCATGGCCACCAAGATCTACCGACTTATCCCCAATTGAGCACGTGTGGGATATGATGGGTAGGAGATTGCTCAATCTGCAACGTCCTCCTCAGACTCTAGAAGCACTTCGAGAGGAGTTGGTGGTTGCCTGGAGTGAGATACCACAGGAGGACATTGACCACCTGATCAGAAGCATGCCTAGGCGCGTTGGAGAATGCGTAGCACATCAGGGTTCATCCACACATTATTAAAGGTCAAAGAGCTAAAAATAAAACCATTTAAACTGGGTGTTCGGATTTATATGTCACTTAGTATAATTTAAGCAATTTGAACGGCAGGATATGTATACGATCGCAATAAGTTTGGTTTCTACTCCAATCGGGATAGAAATTAATAGTATAGCTGCTTTTTCAATCATTTAGTCAATGTGTAGTGCTCCAATCTAAGCTAATATTAGAAAAACGAATATTTATATTAGCACTGCTTGTATAATTCTCCCTAAATCGCGACTACTAACTTTATTTGTAGTGGAATCTCAAAATAAATTATAATAATAATAATAATAATAATAATAATAATAATGTTTATTCACGTAACATACAAATATAACTAAAACTAACATAGGTAAACGTAAATAAACTGAATTTACCCACAGAAGAATAAATTCTTGTGCATGAGTATTAACTTACATTTTTACATAAATATACTCATAAATACGTATACATACACATATACACATATACATATATACACATACATACATACATACACACATATATATACAGGGTGACTTTGAAGTTGAGTCATTAACTTTCAGACAATGATTGTAGGAGGAAGATAAACCAAAATATGTGTGTAAAAATAAAAAAAAATAAAAAAAATGTTTACCTTGTTTTATAAAGTATCCTCCCGACAAGTATTTCAGTGCGGACCTGTATTTGATCGTGAGGTCTTGGAGCACCGGCATGCCGTCCCCTGTGAGGTCTTAAGTCACCTGATTCACGAGCCCGTTGTACTACATTAACAAAGGCACGAGGGGTTGGTTGCACTCGATTAAGAAACCGATCCGCATAAACATGTGCCATTTTTTTGTTCGTTTGAGCCACGCAGCAAACACCACTATTCACTCACGCGTTACCGACTAACACTGACTGTATACAACTGAATAAAATAATTGTAAAAACATCGTTCCAAATTCTTTCGCTTTTTTGTTTCGGATGCGATGAACCGATAAGGCGAATTATATCCGTTGTTGCCAAACACGAGCACATAATATTATTATTGAGACAGGGCGGTACTCAAACTTGTAAAGGGCTATAACTTTGTTAGTTTAATTTTACCAGAAACATGTTAAAGGAAAAAAACATTTCTTTTGATCAGATCTACTCACTGTTAAAATAAATGACTCAACTTCGAATTCATACAGATAAATACATAAATAGATGCACATATACACACACATATATACATACACACATATACGAGTATATGAACGTTGGAGAGTTTTTACTATTACATTAATTTTAAATTTCATACGTATCATGTTTGCAATTTGATGTCGATTTTTTCAATTATACATTTTTTGGTTTCAATTTTGAATTTTGTTTTATTTGAAATATTTCTTAGATAATTTGGTATTATGTTATATAATCTACTGGAAAGGTAAGTATGACATCTTTGGTCTATACTTTTTGAGGTGAAAGGTGTTTGCTTAATGTTCTTGATTTTGTTTCTAGCTTTATTTATAATTTTATAAAAAAACTGTTGCCTAGGGTCTAATAGTTTTGCTTCAGAATACAACAGATCAGATGGGTATAAGAGTGGTTTGTCAGAGATTATTTTTAAAAATTGTTTTTGGATAATTTCTAATTTATTAATTTGGTTATTAAGTGCTCCGCCCCAACATAATATTGCGTAACTTATACGACTTTCGATTTGATTTTACTTGAATTTAAATAATAATGGTCTCAAATTGCTTATTACATGATTAATATGTATATTCTACTTTAAATGCGAGTCTAAATATACACCTAAATATTTCATTTAGTTTGCTAAATTTATTTGAGTATTTATATTACCACAGCTAATCTGTATAGATACAAAGGATGGTCATTTGTTTCTGTGATTTGTGAATGGCATGAAAGTTAATAGTTAGACATTTATGTCTAAACCAGTCTGCAATTGTTGTTAAGCTCTTTCAACCTTCACTTTTAGATCATCCCACGAGTGTTATCCGAATAAATGATAGCAGTATCGTCTGCAAAACATATGATTGCCCCTTCAGATTTGAAGCTCAGCAGGCTATTAATGTAAAGTGTAAATAATAAGCGGCCTAACGCTGTCCCTAATGGGACACCATACGTTATTAATTTGTTTGTGCTTAAGGAATTATTTATTGGTACGCACTGTGTTCTGTTGGAAAGGTAACTTTTCATGAGTTTATTAGCCTTGCCTCTGATTCCTGAGTCGTGTAAGTTTTCTAATAGTAGCAAGTGGTCTATTGTGTCGAATGCTTCTGCTAGTTCTAAAAACACACACTTTGGTCCAGTAATTTGTATAATTTTGATGTCAAAAAAGAAATTGCGTCTTGGGTAGACTTGTTTTTCTGGAATCCAACAAATTGTCTTTCATTAGTCAGATTATGTTTATCAAAAAAATTTAGAAGTCATGTTTTTATAATTTTCTCTATAATTTTTGCAAAGTTAGATATTAGAGTTATAGGCCTGTAATTGTTACTATCTGCTTTTTCACTGGATTTGCGAATGGGTTTTACTACTCCTACTTTATAATCATCTGGAAATTCTCCCGATTCAATTATCCAGTTCGCAATGTACGTCAAGGGCTTACTATCGGATGAAATTTTCTTTAATATTTCTAATCGTATACCATCAAGACCTGGACTTTTTTTATTTCTCAAACTGTGTATGGCATTTTTATTTCATTCTCAGACACAGGTTCTAAGAAAATCGATTGTTGTATACATTTTCTGGGCGAAATATTTTTGTTAGGTTTATTTATTTTCATTGCTAATTTTTTCCTCGTTTCTATAAAGTAATTATTGAATGCATCAGCAATATCTTTACTTGTGTTAAGTGTTGTATCATGGACATTTATTTCTTCAATTTTTGTTTCAGGTTTGGATGAATTACAGATCTGATTTATGGTATTCCATAGCATCTCACAGTCGGATTTGTTGCTTTGTAGTTTTTCTGTGTAATATTTTTGTTCTGAAAT